CTAACCCTTAACTGTACCCCACAAAACTATAATAAAAATACTGATTATTAAAAAAAAAAACAAAAGAAATTCTAGGAAAAAAAACAAGAACATATGCTCATATGTATTTTTTAAAGGGAGAGAACACAGACCTCACTTTTCCATTTATTTATTTATTTACTTACTTACTTAGTTATTTCCTAGACAAAGGTTCTTGCTGTGTTGTTCAATTGGACTTGAACTTCTGTCCTCAAGTAATCTTTCCACCATAGCCTCCCAAACTTCTGGTTATACAAATGTGAGTCACCATACCTAGCCAGAATTATGTTGTAATAGAAGCGATGAATGCCTTTTTGAGTTGATTTGGAGACTAGAAATTGCTGAGCTTGAGAATATCTCAGTAAATCTCTCCAGAACTAAAAGCAAATAAAAAATGTTGACATAAAAACCCAGAATAGAATGTCCAAGAACTGTGGGGCAACTACAATAGGTGTAATTTTTTCATTAAAAAAAAAACACCAGAAGAAGAAAAATGTATGTTGGATGCCAAATCATTGCTCCAGGAAGCTCAGAGAACACCAATCAGGATAAACAACAAAAATTCCTCACCTGGGCATATGATATTTAAAACCTGAAAATTAAAGATTAAAAATATTTTAGAATAATCAAAGGAACAAAGCACCTTCAAATCTAGAAGGGAAAAAGAATTATATCTGACTTCTCAGAAGAAGAAAAAAAACAAGTAAGAGGACAGTGGAGTGAAATATCAAAACTGTGAGAGAAAAAGTTCATCAACTAAGGGTCTGTGCCCATGTGAAATTCTCCTTCAAAGCTGCAGGAGAAATAAAGACTTATTCAGAGAAAAAAGTGAGCAAGTTGTTCCCAGTAGACCCATCTGGTAAGAAATATTAAGAAATCTTTAGAGATAAGGAAAATGGTAAAGTGGGATAGTGTTATTGAAAGCAGGCTTAGATTACTTGTAAATGTATATTGTAAATGCTTGGCACCCAACTAAAAAAGTTAAAAAAAATAAACAAATAAAAACCATAAAGATAACAGTTATGCAAAGAAAAGAGATAAAATGAAATTTTATGAAAAGTTCTACTAAAATTACAAATGGTAGAACGAGAAAGGGTGACAAAAATTAAAAGTAAAATAGGGCAAAAAATAAATGGTATCAAATATGTTATATATTAATTTAACTAAATCTGTAACATTTTTTCATGTCAATGATCTAAATGCAAATTATTTTCAGCAACAATTTGGTAATAATCTAAATGTCCATCAATGAATGTTTAAAATACATGACAGACTTATAGCAATAATAATACATAGTGTATTATGTATAGCTAACATACTCATCTATATGAGTACATGTTTTACATATTTAAAAAAGAATAAGAAGCTCCTCTTTGAACTGTTGGCCAGCCCTTCAGAATAGAGTGGAAGCTTGAAAGATGTACCAGCAGAGGCCATAAGCAAAGGATTCAATAAGAGTTTATAGAAGGTCACAGATTGTCTTTAATCTGGGGGAAGCCAGAAAGAGCACTCTATGAAATGAAGGTTCCAACACAGAAGAGCAAGACAATGTCCTGAAAACCTGCAGCTTGGGCAGGTAAGATGTACACATGGATAAAGAAAGCATCTCTGTAGACCTTGCCCTTTTCCATATCCCTCATCCTTTCTTCCATGACATCCTGGCAGCAGAACACCTAGTCCCAGAATCTACATTCACTTTTTCTTATTTCATGACTCATTTTTCAGGGGTACAAAGATTTTATGTAATATACAATTCAGTATAAAGACTGAAGCAGTCATTTCAATCTTTAAGATATCTAACCCATTCTAAAGTATGCTTACAATTCTCATAGGAAACTGATGGCTATAAGCTTATATGTCAAATAAAAAATGTATCTTGCATACATAAATATATACAGACTTCTATTTAAGATGTGCACTTTACAGATAACAGAAAATTCTTAAACAGTGATGAAAAAGAGCCTATGAAATTATCACCCAACCTGTTTAGCCCCTGAATAATGCCAGGAGGCTAATTCTACCATCCTAGTCAACTATAATTAGCATACAGGCCTTTCTCCTTAGGCTTCCCCATCATGGATCCAGGATGACTGCTTCACCCTTCGTTTAGGTGTCCGTTTCAGGCCAGAAAGGAAGGAAAAACAAGAAGTTTCAGGGCTTTGGACAGGAATGTAAAGGTTTTTCAGAAACCTCCACACTTGTGCTTAGGATGTATTGGGCTCAACTGTTTCACATGGACACTGCTACTTGAAGGACATGAAGAAACCATGTGTACCACTTACAGCATTGAGGGTTGCTGCTCTCATACGAAAAATGACTCTTTTAAGAACTTTAATGTGTACTTATTCACCTTCACCATTCATATTAACTACAAATGGAACTGTTGGATCCAGTGGAATCAAAGAAAAGGGCTTTGGAATCCAGTAGACATGGCTTGAAATCCCAGCAATAGCACTTGCCAGCTGTATGTGTGGACACATTAATTTGTGCTCTTTAATACCATTTTCTAATTTACTCAAAGGACATAAAATATCTTTTATCTCTGCCTATGTAGGCTGTAAATCCTGCACTTACCTGTGTCACTTAGCAGTACATTAAGGCTACATCTGGCATTTTTGATGGCCAAAATTGCCCTGGGCAAGTATATGACCACTCTCAATTTGATGCTTATTGCTCTAAAAATTGAAAAGTGGCCACAGTACTGGGCAGTTGTGAAGACTGTATAAATCCACCTAAGCAATATGAAAAATTAAAGTGTCCTTGTAAATTTACATTCTTAAACTGGCAATTAATTTGGAGGACAGTCCTGTGCACTATTTTTTTTTAACTGTCAGCCCACAAAAATACCTTCAAACCTCAGTTTGGAAAGGCCTCTGACAAGCTGCTTACCTTAGTGAAAACACACTAAACGCTGTGTCTCTGATCATCCCATAGCTTTGTTCAGATATTTTTTGAAGAATTATACAGTAATTAGCATTTAATCAGTACTGAGTGGATCCAGTTGAAATCAGTAGTGATCTAAAAATGAGAAACCTTGTATTTCGTAGCTGCATTTTTAACTAATAGATTAAGCAGTTGTTACTTGTATCGTAGCTACCCTAACTTCCTGCATGTTTCCTATTTACCTGGTGGAGCTGAACTATTCAGAGTAGATTACCGGCACATAAGAAGATATTATTGAAAAATGAATTTATTTGTACTTAAAAGTTTACTGTACATCTAGAAGTGTTGTTTAAGACACATAACAACTCAAACTCAAACAAACAACTCAAACTGTGTTGGATTTTGAAAAAGTTTAATCAGAAGGCATTAAAAATCGCCTCTTACAAAATACAGCAAACATTTAATTCAGTACAAAACAATAAACATAATTTTTGGTCTGCAACATATTACCAAAGTATTCTTCCTGGGATTGTGGATTCCACTGCTTTTTTTTTTTTTTATTATGTTTATTTATAGATTTTAATTTTTTACTAGGATTCAGATGAAAAGTCACAAATTTTCCCTCTCATCAACAATTTATTCATTCATCTACTTATTTTTATGAATTGATATACTGATGCTACACTAATTAGTCTCAATATAATCTTATTAAATCATAAGAATTAGGCAGGGCTTGGTGGCTCATGCCTATAATCCCAGCACTTTGGGATGATGAGATGAGAGGATTGCTTGGACTCACAATTTTGAGACCAGCCTGGACAATTTGGTGAGACCTTATCTCTACAATAAATCAAAAAATTAGGCAGGTGAGGTAATGCGTGCCCATAGTTCCAGCTACTTGGAAGGCTGAGGCAGAAGGATTACCTGAGCCCAGCAAGTTGAGGTTGTGGAGGCTGTGAACATGCCATCGCACTCCAGCCTGGGCAACACAGTGAGACTCTAACTCAAAAAAAAAAAACCAGAATTTTCAACAAATGTTCACTCCAGACAAGTGGAGTGTAAGAATTTGGGTGATATCATGTTTATTTCTGTTTGTGTAATTTGGTGTAATGTCCATACCTTGCTTCGAAGTAAAGAAGAGACTTTATATATAAAATAACTTGACCTGAGCATACCAAATGGTGAGGTCAACAAAAGAGAGAATTACAGAATGGTAAAAGACACAGGACAAAAGGACCAGAAATGGAGGAAAGATGGAGGGGAGAATAAGAGCTGAGGGAGAAAATTTTGCGGAAGTGGGTGGAAAAGGAGTGCATGAGGTAAGGTGTAGGAGGAAAGAAATACTAGTGTGTTCATAGCCCTATCAAAACTTTTATGAAAACATAGGATATCTACATATTAAACACTTTGACATCAA